AGTGGTTTTGAAAAGAGTGTCAACCTTAAAGTTGGTGAGTTCATAAGTGTTTATAAGAAAATTTGATATTCTTCCTTTTGTAAAATGTATGAGTGAGAAGCCAGAAAATCCAATATTTTCTTTATATATAGTGTAGTCTTTGTTCCTTGAAAATGATAGAGTGTTCTTCTAGAAAATCCAATATTTTCTATTAGAATGAATTGTAGTTTTAATGCCCTAAGACCAAAAATGTATGAATATTGTTGTACTTGGAAATTTGTATAGTGTAGTTTTATATCTTTATAAAACTGTTTAAATGTATGTCTTCCCAATATGTAAGGTGTATCGTACTGTATATATAGTGTACTGTAGTGCATCTGTGTAAAATCCTTTGAATGCATGTTTCTAGAAAACATAAACTATATTGTACTGGAAAAAATGGTGTGGTGTAGTTTTATCTAAATAAAACCCGTTGAAGATATGTACGTAAACAAATGCGTTATTAATACCCCTTTTGGTGAGTTTTATAATCATGCTAGCGACTAGTGACTAGTGACCTGCACGATGTTCTTCAAGGGTCGGAGTAGTACGACATTTTTTACCCCATACCTGCCGATCTAACTGTAACAAACAATGTATGTGTGGGATTGTGAGTCCTGTATAGATCTATACACAAGTACCACACTCTTTTACGGGAGATTCTAGTTATAATACAAGATTTTAGTGAGTACCCTGATAAGTACTATGAAGATAGCGCCTCACAAAAAGCCATATTAACGGTTTACGTATAGTGTCGTGAAATCCCTTTTTCTTGTATTTGTATGCATTACATTTTCATAGTGTGAAAAATAAAATAATTATTCTTTTAAATAAATATTTTCTGTACCCCTTACTGGGTAAAATAGTGTGTATATGTCATAAACTATACCTATTATAGTTTATATAAATGTTTCGTTAAACTGTGACCATTTGTATACTATTATCAAATTGTCATAATAGTAAATTGTAATGAAATAATTATATAATTCCGTTTATATAATTATACCATTTTTGCTCGACATGTTATAAAAAGGTTAAACTTTTATTCAATAATGGGCGTGGGGGGTAATTGGGTTATTTAAATGCTGAAGAATTTATAATTACAAATTTTAAAATTGTGGGTTGAAAACTCTATGTGCTCACTAGGTTTCTCAACTTGACCACTCGGTATATTTAAATTACAAGTTATTAAATAAAGATACTTGGATAATGAGGGATTCAAGAAGATATAGATCGTTAGTATATTGAGACATTGTAAGTTTCCATTTAGGCTTATGTTTCTATATTGACGATGACATCCCGGGTTTTATAAATAAAACACATTTCTTCGAAAATGTTTTGATAATATTATTATCATGTTTTTGGAAAACTTCCACAAATAAATCTTTTTAAAAGAATACTCTGATTTAATAAGCATAAAAAAATCGGTTGTTTATGGCCATAAAAATTGGGATGTTACAGGATGACATTGATTGTGATAAAGATGAAGATGATTCTGTTGAGGTAATTATTTTGAATATGTTAATCCTATTTGATTACACTAATTTATTATATTATTTCTAATTATATTTATTTTTATTAGATAGGCATATGAATCAAAATTATCTAAAATGCATAATAGTTTTGAGAGGATGAAGGAAAAGCTAAATTAAAAGCTCAATGATGCAATAACAAAGTTTCCTATAAAGGAAAGTTTTAGGCTTTTGAAAGAAAAGATCACAAATGTAATTGTTGAAGATAAAACTAAAGCACATAAAATTTTGAATTTCCAAGTAATGAAACTGGACTTGAAGGTATCGATTTGACACCAGTTATGGGTGGAAAAAGAAATGATAGGAAAAACAATGAAGATAAAGTGGGAAATGGTGAACAACACAAGGATAATGATGGACCTGAGTCTGAAGTAGATTATTTGCTTGATGGAAACAAAATGGAGAATGAAGGTACATAGAATGATGGAGAGACCAATAAAAAAGAAAATGATGAAAAGAATGTGGAACTGAAGCAAAAGAGAATGATGGATATATCAATGAAAACGAGAATGATGAAGAGAAAAACAATTAGGAGACTGAAGAAGGAAATAATGATGAAGAGACTACTCAAAAAATGAAACAAAAAATGAAAACATTGTGGATAATGTCCTTGGCCTTGGATTTGTAAATTTAAATAGTCAAGAAGATGAAATCTAGAATGACCCTGAAATGATAACTATTTTGTATATATTGATATACATAAAATTTAAATTGTGTTTTTATAAAATATATAAAATATTAATTCACAATTACAAATTTTTGTTATTAAATTTTGACTAGGGTCAACAATGACTGAAAGTAAAACTAATGCTTTGATCAGTCAAGTTATTCAAGGTATGTATTTGTTATTCATATATGAATGAATATAAAAAATGTTACTATTAAATTATAAAATGTACTATTATTTTACAAATAAAAAATGTTAATGTAGAGTCAATAGTTAATTAATTAATTATACTTTATATGTAATATGATATGGATATTGTAGGGAAGGGAAACTCAGAAGGTTTACATAAACAAGGAGGAGAAGTTTAGAAAGGAAAGGGAGATGATATAGGTAAATGGATGATATACTATTAACTGAATATATTACAATGCTTATATTGATTTTTTTTAATAAGATTGCTCATTCATAAGTGAATAAGACAATATATGAATGAGTAAAAAATATAGAATATTCATATATGATGTATATCTTTCTGGCAGGGGAAAGTTTGAAGATGGAAATAAAAGATGAGGAGAAGCTGAGAAGACAAAAAGAAATGATTGGTGTAGATATAATAAAAAAGGAGAATTTGAAACTACGCAGGAAAATAAAGATGAAGGTGGAGATAAATAAGGAGGAGAAGTTGAGAAAGGAAATACAAATGATACATGGAAATGGATGATTCACTAAAAATTCAATATAATTAGATTGATTATTCACAAGTTAATAAGACAGTATATGAATAAATAAAAAAGATAGTATTACTTGTTCATAAATAGCGATGTGCATTACTTATTCATAACTAAATATATTATAATGCTTACATTGATCTTTTGAATAACAAACTTTTCATGTATTAATAAGTAAAAGGTAGAATTACTTGCTCATAAGTAAACTTATAATCATTTATGAATAATTAATGCAATATATTGAATATAGATAGAATATTCCTATATGATGTATATCTTTCAGGCAAGGGAAAGTCTCAAGATGAAAATAAAAAAGGAGGAGAAACTGAAAACATAAAAGGAAATGATGGAGGTAATAATTTGAAAAAACATATTTGAAAATTCATATATGATTGGAATGATCAATGAACATATATAAATAAAATAAAAAATATTTTATAGTTACCATATAATTATTTATATGATTCATTATTCATATATGATTTGAATTTTGAAGGTGATAAAAAAGGTGTTGAAGTTGAGAACAAAAAATCAGGAGATGGAGGTAAATAGACGATTCACTAATTAATTATAATCAATATACTACACTAAAATTCATATTTTTCATAGTATATTAATATATTATGTAAATTTTCTGGTAGGTAAAAAAAATAAAAATGAAGATAATACTCATCCAAGATTTAGTCTAGGTATCAGTCAAGATTCAGATAAAAATTCAAGTAAAAAATCTAGTGAATCTTCACAAAAAAAATTACAAGGAAATAAATCAAGGAAGACAATCATTGGGTTGTGATCAGATTATGAAACAAAAATATTCTTAATCTAAATCCAATCTCTGTACCAATTCCAACCAAAGGAGGACGATCAAAGCATGAACTGGATGAATCAAGATCGAAGAAGCTTGGTGATCCTTTCAAATCACCTTAAAAATGCAAGATAATAGACACAAAACCTAATCTGACACATCAAGAGAGTATTATCTATGAGTGGTCATTCAACTTGCAAGGGAATACATAGTAAGTAACTTTATTTTGTAGACATATTCATATATGATTATTATATAAATAATAATATATGAAATTTTGATTATATATTTGTAGAGATGTGGTCGTCCAGAAAAAATATGGTCATGTAATAATAAGAAAATTTGTGGAAAGTATATATGGAAACAGGGAGATTTTTGAAGAAGTTTTTGATACTTGGGCTGATTTACTTAATCACTAAAAACTAGGAAGAGATGTCAGAAATTCACCATATATAGTTTTCTTGAAAGTTGAAGTTTCTATAAGTTTGTGTTCTAATATTAATTTCTTCTTTATTCATAAATGAATATACCAATATGATGTATTTATTTATGAATATTAGATTTATTTAGTATCATTTAAGATAATTATGTCTATGTAACTAGAATTCATATATGGTTATAACAAAATGAGGTATTCATTTATGAATATAAAAATAAAAAATAAATATATTTAGTATTGACTTATGATTAATATACCAATATGATGTATTCTCTTATTATTTACAACTTATTAATCCTTTAAAATTATATTGGTTATAGAATGTTTATATATCTTCAACATCTTTTGATGAAAGAAAGTATGAAAATTTCAAGGAGAACTTTCATGAGAGCACTGATGGGTACAAAAAAATCTTAAACATAAAAGATATTGACATGGTATGTTAATTTTACTTGTTTTTTATATATATTTATCAAAAAAATACTTACCATTATATACATAAAAAACATGTATTATTTCTAGTTATTAGAAGTGCTCAAATTTTTGTGATTATCTTCAACTTAAAAAAACAATCAATTGAAATTCTGGACAACAGTGCAGTTGAGGGGGATTATGAAGGGAAATATGGAGTACTGTTGAAGCCTTTGGTAAGTACCCAATTCAAAACAACGTATCAAAACCAGTTTATTACGTATCTAATTTTATTTCATCTAATAATAAGAAAATTTTGTTTGTGAGATACATTAAAGAAATAAACCACCCAAGAGCTAATGCCATCTCAAAAGAAACTGTCATACCACAAAATCTTGAAATGCCATGGAGAACAGTTAAAAATAAAGTTGATTGTGGGGTCTTTACAATGAGACATATGGAGACCAATATGGGACAACCAATCTCAAAGTGGAAACCAGGTCTTCATAAAGAAAGTAAAATTCAACAAACTACTTTAGAGAAGCTCAGGCAAAGGTATGTGCACCAAATGTTAACTTCTAAAATTAACATGTTGAAGGCTATGGTGTTGGATCTTGCCAAAAACATATCAAAATATGGAACTCACAGTGCGTATGGCTCATGCATACTAGGATATGCAAACAATTTACAAAATCTTAAAAGAATATTGATGATTGTTTATGAGGAAGTATAATAGTATGGGAGAACAATATGTGATGAAGTTGAATGCTTTTGGAGAACATGTAAGATGGTTTTGTGAAACAAGTTTGTGAACAAGTTTTAAATGGTTTTTAGGTGTTTTTGAACATCATGTAAATACTGTATGAAATGCTTGTGAACAGGTTTAATTATTTTGTCTTGAATGATTATGTAATAGAAAAAGTTTGCTTATTTTTGTTAGTTTTTTATAATAAAATATTTTCAAAGTTTATCATAATGTTTTATAAACAAGTGTGATTGCTTCTGATAGCTTTCAATTTTATTTATGTTTATTCATAAATGAATACCAATATGATATATTCATTTATGTTTAATATGTAAATAATAATGTCTTCAATCATAAATAAATACAAATATGATATGTTCATTAAAGATTAAGTTATGAATAATATGTAAATTTAACAAAGTTTACATATGAATATAACTTATTTGTTAGTAAATTAATAATCAAATATCATGTATACATCATATTTATATTCATTTATAATGTATTTATTTATCATAGTTTTCAAATTTATTTATGTTTATTTATAAATGAATACTAATACGATATATTCGTTTACGTTTAATATGTAAATAATAATGTCTTCAATCATAAATGAATACAAATATGATGTGTTTATTTATAATTAAGTTCATATAAAAATTTGATATATCATTTATAATAAACATGTATTTCACATATGAATTTTCCATATCAATATAAATGTCTTAAGTAACAGCTTCTGATATATCCATAATGACACAAGAATATTGTATTATTCATACATGAATATTATTGCTTATGATTATTATCTGCATATATTCATAAATGAATAGAATGAAATAACATAAAAAACAAAAAATAAAAAACCTAGAAGTCCTTTGTTGAATGAGCAGCTGTAATTCTTACCGAATATGTACTTAAATTGTGAAGAACCCGTTCTTTAGATACAGAGCACATTCTGTTGGGTTCGAATGTATATAGTGAGGACTCAAAAGTAGTTTATGTCTGTAATGTGTCGAAAGTAGTCTAGTTTCGACACTCTATCTATTTACAAGGCATCTTAGTTCGACACTTTAATGATTAGTCCTTGCTACTTCTTTGTGAGTATGTTATACTCTACAAATATGGTAAGTACATAGAGTAGAGGATAACCAAACACAATATATTTTACATTTGTAATCATACTCTCTTGTACTCTTTTGACGTTATAGAGCCAAACAGATCTTATTTTGATCATTTGTCCATTTACATCTTTTATTGATTCATCTGTGTTCTTAATCAATCTCTAACAAACATCAATTGTTAACAGAGTAGAGTCTCTCAATCAATTGAAGTTTGTCATAATCTTTCATTTTTTTAATTGCTCTTTCTGATTCAAAATCTTCCGCAAATTGAATTACGAAACTGGTGTCAATTGATTGTATTGAATAGATTTTGCACTCTGTGTGTTAGATCGATTGATTTCTCATCAATCTATAATTGATTTATTTAGATTTTTGTTTGAATAAAAATTTCTCTTTCTTAAAAATCTGTACAACAATCACAAATTTTAATATGAACAAGGTGTCTAATTTCTCGGATCATCAACAAAGATACCGATGTTGATTTCGAAATACTATGAGCAATGGGCTGACAGGATAGAGGATTATTTGAATAGGATTGATCAAGTATGATGAGATCCACCAAAAGTGGAGAATTTGGTCAAGAGATGCTAATAAATGTTGGTATGTTAGCAACTTCCGAGGATGAAAGAAAACGATAAGAAATGTATGCGCGAACTATGTGTTACTCTTCCACTTGTAGTTTACAATTATGTTCAAGGATGTAAAACTGCAAAGCAAGTTGGGGATACATTGAAGGAGAAATATCAAGGAAATGAGAAAACGAAGAAGAGTTCAGCTAAACAATGCTTGTTAGAATTGGGAGAATTCAAGTAGAAGGAAACAAAATCAGTTGAATCATACTATGATCGATTGAATGAATTGATCTTCAAGTGTTCTTGATATGGAGTGACACATTCGACACTAGAGTTTAATCTTACATTTCTGTGACAAACCAAAATTTCTCTCTTGTACAAGAAACCAACTGAATCTAAGTTAGACTCGTTTCGTTAGCTTTCAACACCGTTTGGGATCTATTAGAGCATTCTAAACGTAATGCAAACAAGGTAGAAATTGAGAATCAGGATAACACAAAGCGTATCAAACAAAATCAGGCCAAACACTCCAAAACATGGAGTGTGTGGCCATACACTTGAGTGTACGGCCACACACAGGTGTGTGCGGCCGCACACCCGTTTCCAGCCGCACACCGTTCCCAGCCGCATACTCACCTCTATATATAGGGGAGGACCCCCTTCATTCATTCTTTCCTCCTTTGGCTACAATTTACTTCTATCTCTACTTTCTCTCTCTAAAAATCCCATCCAAAGAACACTCTAAAGGCCTCAAGAACGTGAATCACCCCATCAATCAGCTTGTTACTGGTAAAACATATGAATCTAAGCTTAAAACTCATAGTGTTCTTCATGCTTTGAAGGAGTGCGGTCGCACACCTTCATATGGTGGCCATACACCTTCATATGACCTAAGAACACCTCAAAAATCAACATTTTGTACACAAATTAGGAGTGTACGGCCGCACACTCCTGTGTACGGCCGCACAAGCCCACTGTACGGCCGTACACCCCCACTGTACGGCCGCACACTCATGTGTACAACCGCACACACGCATTTATCGGACATTTTGACCATACACTCCCTTGTGTAGTCATATACCACTCATATACAACCTTATATGGTTGTAACTCTTCATAATAAGTGTTTACTAGTCCCTAAAAAGGTCCCACTACAATAACTAGTTATTTCAGACACTAATTACACCCATATATATGTCATTATATGGTTAATAGGATCCGTTGGTTCTCAAGTCCGCAATTAACACTCAACCTGTAACATCCCGGAATCGCAAGAGTAGAGTTGAAGGGCTAAAAGTGTAAGTTTTAGAGGATGACTCAGCGAGTCCATGGATAGACTCGACGAGTCAGGTCGCGGTCATGGTCGCGTGTCAAGTGGCCTACTCGGCGAGTCCCTAGGATGGACTCGGCGAGTAGGTGCTGTATGGAGAAAACCCTAATTTTCGGGGTTGAGCCCTATATAAAGAACATTATGCCCCTCCACAGCCTCCCTTATTCCCCCCTTGAGTTCCAGAAACCCTAAATTCGTGGAGAGATCATTTGTGGAGCAAATTAGAGCTTGGAGAGGTGTTGTTTGAAGAGATCTTGAAGGAGAAGTGGCTTGGATCAAAGGGCTTTGCTTGGATTCGAGTTTGGCTGCTATTGAGGCATCTTTTGGAGGTAATATCTTCGTCCTTAGGCTGTGCATTCCTAGTTTCATCATTTTGGGGTTTGTGGGGAGTATGTCTTGGAATGTTTTGGAGTTTGGAGGATAGATCTGAGGTTGCTACCTCAGATCTGAAATATTGAAGGCCTAGAGTGCATTAAAGTTCCTGTGTTTGAGTGCTTAGTGGGAGCCACCATGTCCCAAACCTTGGTTTTAAGGTGAATATGGCTTAGATCTCGTTAGGTTCACGTAAAGTTTGCCACTTTACGTGATGGATGGATTGTAGGAGGTTGGATCTATGTTTTGGATCAATTGCATGGCCTGAGATGCTTCTATATGGATTCAGACTGGTGGTACTCGACGAGTCACATGGGTGGACTCGACGAGTTGCTTGAAGATGGCCTGGAACTCGATGAGTTGAAAGAACAACTCGGCGAGTAGGTTGAAGATGGCCTTGGACTCGACGAGTCCATTTGGACTCGGCGAGTCTTGTCGAGGAAGTCCCAATATTTCTGGTTGAGTCGATGAATCGGTGAGTCAAGGGATGACTCGGTGAGTTGGGTGCGAGTGGACTCAGAGTTGTTGGACTCGACGAGTCTTGGGGTGACTCGGCGAGTTGTGTCGCTAATTGAGGGAAACTCTGAGCATAAGGACTCGGCGAGTCATCAGGATGACTCGGCGAGTAGGGTCAGTCAGGGGTTGACTTTGACTCGTCCAAGGTTGACCAGTTGTCTTCCAGGGGTATTTTGGTAATTAAGGGTATTTATTGAGTTGTATGTTTTGATGTTTAGTGGAGGAGTTCGTGTCAGAGTTCGGAGCAGCGGGATCTTATCTTTTCAGCCGGCAGTTTCGAGGTGAGTTATCCTCACTATATCAACAGGGTCTAAGGCACCAAGGCCGGCCCTTTATTGTATTGAGATTCGGTTATGGTTATTATGTTATTGTTTGATGTGTTTGCATCCTGGTAGCTAGGATGGTACATGCTAGGAGGCCTTACTAAGGTCAGTGTTCCCGATATACAGAGTGATGCTATGCTAGTGACTGGTTAGGTCGGTAACCCGGTTAGGGTAATGATATGCTATGTGATCTGCTTGCTCGGTTTGTTGACTATGACTGTTATATGAATGTATGTTTTGTGCACATGGTTGTTTGGACTGGAGATGGGTTGAGGCGGGTCCTGCTTTGTGCTGTAGGCCAAGATACCCAGGGCGGACCGGTTGTTCCGAAGGCCCAGCGAGCGGTCCGGATAGGCTGTAGGCCCCACGAGGGCGGACCAGACGTGCCGAGGCTCGGAGAGTGGACCAGGCCGACTGAAGGCCCGATGCGGGCGGACCAGTCACACTGTAGACTCAGAGAGTGGACCAGGTGGGTTGAAGGCCCGATGCGGGCGGACCAACCCCACTGTAGACTTGAAGGACATGACTAGACCCGGAGGATGGATCTGTTGGACTGAAGGCCCGATACGGCGGACCAGTCACACGGTAGACCCGATATGCATGGCTGTTCTATGTTCTGTTATGTTATGTATGTTTTATATGTTTTGGACCGGAAGGTCGTAGCCTGGAAGGGCGTATACGTGGTTGGTATTTTGGGGGGTATCTCACTAAGCTTTCGGGCTTACAGTTGTGGTTTAATGTTTTTCAGGTT